TCTCCTTCAAGCCTCATGTTCAATTTATCGCCAAATCCTGTCATTTCCATCTCAAAAACATTGCGCGCATCCGCCCCTACTTAACACCAGATGCGACTAAGGTGTTGGTCCATTCCACTGTCCTTTCTCGCCTTGACTACATTGACTACACAGTCCCTACATTGGCTTCCTATAAAATAGAGAGCTCAATTTAAAATTCTGGTTCTTGCTTTCAAATCTCTACATAATGCTGCTCCCACCTATCTATCCTCCCTTATACACAAGTATATCCCGTCTAAGCCCTTACGATCTGCTGAAGACTTACGTCTATCTTCTGTCCGTACTCCCACCTCTGATGCGCGCCTTCAAGATTTCTCGAGGGCTGCACCATTCCTGTGGAACTAGCTTCCCTCCTCCGTTAGATGCTCACCCAGTCTCCACTCCTTCAAAAAATCGTTAAAAACCCACTTCTTCATAAAAGCGTATCAATTAAACTGTTAATAGCTCCTGACTGATTCCTCTTCTGCAACTGTCACTAGTCTAATACTATCCTTACCTTTTTGTGTCATTTTACCCCACTCCCTCTAGCATGCAAGCTCATTGAGCAGGGCCCTCAACCCCTCTGTTCCTGTGTGTCCAACTTGTCTGGTTACAACTACATGTCTGTTCATTCACCCATTGTAAAGCGCTGTGGAATTTGACGGCGCTCTATAAATATCATAATAATAATAATAATGATATGAAAAGAATGAGAGGAGAATCCCACCGGATCCGCTACCATACCTGACTTAAACACATAAACTTGTTAAGTGATAATGCGTCATAGCCGACCCATTCTCATGTATCATCATGGAAGCCAGAGAATCTCTAGGATACGCTACAGGAAAGGTACTAGACACCATGCCCCACCGTAGCACAAATCCTAACCAATGCTCCAGAATTTGGAGATCAATCCAGTCCTCACTAAGACCCTCATCTAATAACTACAGCAGAGAGGAAGCCTCAGCCAAAGAAACCAATACTTCACCAGCATAAAAACACAGCAAAAAGGCAACCTGGTAAAGAAGAAACTCTAAAGGAGATTGATAGACCAAATTCAAAACCTCACAGAAAAGCATAGCTACCAAAGCCCACTCTGCCAAGTACACAGACGATAAACACATTAGAGATAACATTGTTAGGGTAGCCAACAACCTACCCTCCTCTGATGACATATCCCATGATTCCTAAAAACCGACAGATATGCTCTCCATGAACCTGGAGCCAGTGACTTATGGAAGAGCGACTTCAGATTCCCAAATCGAGTGTCCACAAAAAGTGAGGGCCCTGCACTTCCAGAGCAGCCTCCCTGAAGTGCTCCCACTGAAAGCGAGAGAGAGCAATCATGTTAGTAACCCCTGGAACATATGCAGCCTTAAACAAAATGTTAAATTCCAGACAGTGCAACACCAGTTGCCTCAGCAACATCAACACTGGATGGGAACCAGATGAAGCCCGATTAACTAACATCATGCTCATATTACCAGTGTGAAAGACTACCAGCCTGTACTGCAAAAGGTGGCCCATAATTCCACTGCCACAACGATGGGGAAGAGCTCCAGAAATGTAAGAAACTCAAACGAGAACCGACTCCTTTCATGCCTCCGGCCATCGCTCTGTGCACCAGAGACCCCTGAAGTAGATTCTGAACCCCACCAATTCCAAGGCATCTGTGAATAATTCTAGCTCTGAATTCGGTACCTTCCCTAGCTGCCAACAAGTGTGCACATTATAGGTCGCTATAAAGAAACTCCAAATAAGCAAATCTGCTTTGATCCATTTAGTAATCCAAATGAAGAGAAAGGGTTGTCTAATACTGACTGTTGCCAGGCACATACGGCGACAGAACACATGACCCATGGACATGACATGACATGTAAACTGGAGGTACCCCAATAAAGAATGCAGTTGTCGCAGCTGCACCTTTTGAGCACTTCTAACCCTTTCCACCAAAACATGTAGCGTTTCCAATTTATCAGCAGGAAGACAAAATAAACATATTTTCAGTATCAATCTCAATACTCAGAAACGAGAGCATCGAAGTAGGGTCTTTTCTTCCACGATTGGAATCCCCAAATCAGAACTAACTAAAAACTCTGCAATAGTTCAACACAACCCAGACTCACAAAAAGGAAATCATCCAAATAATGTAATAGAAGCAAAAAACGAAAGTCCCCATTTAAGAAAAGAACTAAACAGCTCAAAAAATAACAGGATATGGAACATCGCATAGTGAGACACATATTGAAGAAAAATTCCCCCAGAAAATTACAACCCAAGAAATGGAATGAGTCTGGGTACAGGGAGAAGCCGAATTGCAAACTAAATTTCAGACTTGGCAAACAGCCGACCGAACCAACTCCAAAGCGATCTCTGATTTCCTGCATTTGCTCCGAATTTGTATGCTAGGGTGCAAATGTCCGGATTTGGGGCTTGTAATGCCAGCACATGTGGGCGCATTAAAGTCACGTGCGTGCTCCACGATGAAAAACAATGCAGCTTCACTGAGCCCTGTCTGTCTTGCGACACCAGCCCTCCATCCTGGTCCACCCTTCAGGCAGAAGATTTGCGCCAGTTCCTCCATCTTACAGGCCTGGTCATGGCCAGTGTCATCAATGTCCCAGAACCAGAAGCACTTGGTCCTGGACTCGGCAAAAGACGCAACGAAGGCCTCGATCCCTCCGCCTACACACTTAAGCTCCAGCCCTCCTTTCCACCAACCCAGACTGGATGCCCTGCATCAGGGAAGACAAAACCTCCTGCCTGTGAGTGCACTGGAAAGCCACCATCAATGCCAGTAAGGCCTCCCTGGAGTTGCTAGTAGTCATTGGCAAATGGGGGTAAGAATATAGCTACCAGACTATTTATAAAACAGTTCTATATGTTTATCTTTTTTAGTGATTGAAACCACCAGGACAAAAACTGTCAGACTCCCTCAACAGTTTCTGGGCATCATCTGTCAGTCCAGGTAAGGTTTCCTTTTGGTTATCATGCTTACCACTGTGGCAACAGTCATGCCCCCACCCCTCTTTCCAGGGGTCAGGGGGGAAGACTTCCTGAAAAATAACCTAGGTATGCCTATAGTATCCCTTCAAGGTGTGTGAGTGAAATTTGTGGTTAAGACTCCATGCACAGTGTCAGCATACTGGCAGTATATTTGATATCTGTAATGCGTGAAATTGGTATGTGGATCAAATGTAAAATCTGGTGTCTGAGGGAAAAATCACCAGTGGTCTTTCTAACAGGTGTCTAAGAAAAAAAGATTCTGGTTTTAAGCCAAGACCTTATACTTTATTATGCACTCTAACCAATGAAGTCCAGCAGACAACTTCACAAATAGTCTGCATTTTATAACCACACACCAGCAAGCTTTATGAGAAGTTACCATGCAACGAAAGTGCCTTAGAAAGGGTAGGGAGTGGCTGGTATGTGTGGTCTGTCCCCACAGCTAGACTTACTAATGAACGAATTTTCTTTTACTTCCAGAATTTAAACTGACTATTAGCATGAAGTTCAAAATCTCTATGTCAATTTAAGTTTAATTTAAGGAAGCAGGCTTTACATTTCTGATACTTTGCAATTAATTTCCGACTTAGGAAAGTGCTTTATTAGGTCTATAACTCACTGCCAATTTGTCATAATGCAAGAGGGGAGAAAACAAAAAAAGTCCTCAGCCCTGTCCTGGAAAGGGCACATTCCTCAGCACTAATCGGCAGACTAGCAAGACTGAAGTGCAGATGGCCCTGTCAGTGCTGAACAACTGGGGCTCTGGATGTATTTGCCATGTTGCCTGCAGAACCACTATTATCATGATAATCTCTTTTTTTCTTGTCTCAATTAAGTCTACAAGCCTGCAATTAAGTAAAGGGTTAAAAACATTATTTTTATTATTTACAAACATCTCACTGTCACAAAATGTTAAGTACCTAAAGGAACACTATAGGGCAGGCAACACCTCCCATGATGCTTTGCCAGCATTATGGGTGTAAAAGCATTATGAGGGATGTAGTCCAAAACATCTGGAGTGCTGAAGGTTGCCTATCCCTGCTATAGGGTCAGGAACACCAACATGTATTCCTGATCCTATAGTGTTTAAACCACCATCTAGCCCCCCTGGCCTGCCTAATTATAGTAAAATCTTACTTATATTCAAGGCTGCAGCTGCTGTTAACCACGATGGGTAGACCTACCGGTATGGTCTTCTTATTCCTTCACACTCTGGCAGGTAGTATGCGAGTTAATGCATAGAGAATATATGCTTACAACTACCCATTACCCCTTTCCTCCATCTCCAGAACTGTCGGATAGGACATAAAGAAATCAACTACAGAGACATGCTAAAAAAACATACATGACAGGTGCAGTGTCGCCATAAAGGCAGGTGAAGCTGAACCTCGAGAATCTTACCCAACCCCCCCAAATAAAACACTACAATGTATGGGAAAAATTTGTCCACAGCTTTTAATGAACATAAAAATATAATATATTAACATAACAAAAAGTTGTTCCCCCCTGATCGTCGGCGGGGACCTCAATTTGCCACTGCACGCAGAGCAAGACTCAACGGCCAAACACGGGCCCACACCGGACAACAGAAACGCCAGAACGCTGCGCACCATCTACTACCACCAACTTGCAGACTGCTGGCGCGCACTACATCCATCGACACGCGACTACACATTCTACTCCATAACGCACTCGACATACTCTAGATTAGACTATTTTCTCATGCCACACCGCGACCTCGCCCTCCTCAACAAGGCGGAAATACTACCTATGACGTGGTCAGACCACTGCCCGGTTCGAATAACAATAAAATCGTCTCTTTACAGACCGCGACAAACCTCCTGGAGATTGAATGAATCGATCCTCTCGGACGTACTGGTGGTGGATAAGACCAGGCAGTCCATACAAAACTACTTCACAGACAACGAGCAAGGAGACACGACACCCCTGACATGCTGGGAGGCTCACAAAGCGGTGATCAGAGGACAGCTAATTGCGACATGCGCCACCCGCAAACGAGAAGCAACGCAGGCAACGATAGCCCTCAGCAAGGAGATCGCAGCCCTGGAAACCAAACACAAACGCACCCTAGACGCGGAGACATACAGAGACCTGACCGTCAAGAGGGAACAACTCTCGACACACCTGAACCGCTCGATACAGCGCACATACCAACACTTCAAACACATAATTCATGAACATGGGAACAAATGCGGGAGGCTACTGGCGAACCTACTAAAACAGCGCAAGTCCCAACTGTACATCCCGAAAATCAAGGGCCCTCAACAGCAACACTTTCACCTCCCGGACCAAATAGCATCCGCGTTCCTCACCTATTACCAAGGACTATACCATCTGCGTCAAGACACACCAGAGGAACCACACCGCCACAAACTCGAGGAGATCCAGAGATACTTAGAAACAGCGAGCGGAACCAGACTAGAAAACGCCGACCGAGAAAATCTGGAGACACCCATCTCAACTGAGGAACTGGCCCTCGCCATCAAAAAAGCGAAAACAGGCAAGGCACCGGGCCCGGATGGTTTCCCCCTCTCCTACTACAAGACCTTTACAACAGAGCTCCTCCCGAAACTGCAAACGGCCCTCAACTCCATTCTGGAGGGAGCCACCCCAACAGCCCAGTTCACAGCGGCAAACATCACTCTCCTACCTAAGGACGGTAAGGACCCAACACTCTGCCCAAGCTACCGCCCAATCTCCGTATTAAACACGGACCTCAAACTCTTAGCCAGTGTCCTGGCGGCGCGCCTAGCACCACTGCTGCCCATGACAGTGCACCCGGACCAAACGGGGTTCATCCCGGGGAGAGAGGTACGGGACAACACTATCAGAGCCCTGAACATCATAGCCCACGCCAGAACACAGAGAACCCCAACACTCCTTCTGTCCACAGACGCTGAAAAAGCGTTTAACAGAGTAGACTGGGATCTTATGTTCGGCACACTCCAGCACCTCGGCGTCGGACCGAACTATCTCACCTGGATAAAAGCACTATACACACACCCAACAGCCCGCATTCGGATCAATGGAGCGCTGACCGATCCATTCCAGATTCATAACGGGACCAGGCAGGGCTGCCCCCTGTCACCCCTACTATTTGCACTGACGCTAGAACCCTTTTTAAACCGCATCAGAGGTAACGATAACATACAGGGGTTGAAGATAGGACAGACACACCATAAAACACTGGCCTACGCGGACGACCTCCTATTCATAGTCACATCCCCAGAATCGACCTTACACGCCATACAGTCGGAGTTTGAGGCATATGGCCGTATCTCAAATCTTCAAATCAATTCTTCAAAATCAGAAATCCTGGGCCTCTCCATCAACCACACACTCAGGAGGACACTCCAACGACAACATCCTTACCGATGGTGCGACCAAACCATGCGATACCTAGGAGTTAAGCTTACACCGAACCCGACGGATCTCTATGCCCACAACTACACCCCCATCCTAAAAAAGGCGATAGCAGAATTGCGCTCATGGAACTCATACTACATCTCCTGGCTAGGAAGGGTGAACGCGATCAAGATGACACTGCTACCCAAACTCCTTTTCATATTCCAAACAGTACCGATACTGGCCCCAGATGCGTTCTTCACCACACTGAAATCGGAGGTCCGCAAGTTCGTATGGAAGGGCAGATCCCCACGAATAGCACACTCTCAATTGACGTTGCCCAAACTTCGAGGGGGGTTGGCGCTCCCAGACTTCGAAAAATATTATCAGGCAACACACCTCAACAGAATCCTGAGCTGGTCCGTGGAAGGCAGCACAAAACTATGGACCCAGCTGGAATCCGATACCACAAACTGTGACCTGAGGACCTTGCCATGGATTACGAAAGCCGCATACAGACACAAACAAATACATAACCCGTTTGTAACAGCGACCATGCGGATCTGGCACAGACAGGGCACTAAACAATACTTAACGACGGACCCAGGCCCACTACTCCCTCTGAGAGGAAACCCAGATTTCCCAGCAGGAGATCAGGGCCCAATACCAGCCCTCACCAGACACATACCAACCCTACGCATCAAAGACGTACTTCAACAACCGTTCGCAGTCCGCCCGACGACAGAACTCTTCCCGGATCTACCACACACATTCACACATACCCTAGCTAGAGCACAAATAGTGCAATACGCCCGATCAATCCCCCAAAAGCCGTCTCTAATAAGAGAACAGACGCAATTCGAACACCTATGCACTCAGGACCGGGAACCAGCCAAGGCCATATCGCAAATCTACTCAGCCATAATCGTAAACAGATACATCCTAGCACCCCCATGCATTAGACGATGGGAGGAGGATATACACGAAACCCTAACAGACGCAGATTGGGACAAAATCATCACCCACGTACAGAAGACACCGGGTTCGGCAAGACTCCAAGAAAACTCCTATAAAATCCTTACCAGGTGGTACATAACCCCATCCAGCCTCCATGCACGAGACCCCCAGATCCCAGACACATGCTGGCGATGCGAAGAAGCGGTAGGCACGTTCAAACACATCTGGTGGGAATGTGCACGCATTAGACCCTTTTGGGAGACGATTCGGAAAATAATTCAAGACATAACGGACGAGGCCCTGCCACGGACACCAGCCGCCTTTCTGCTCCACCACACCACCATGTCGACACCGGCCTACTCCAGATCCGTCATCCCGAGACTCCTGAACGCGGCCAAGACAACGATCCCCATGTTCTGGAAACAGACGTGTACACCACCCATAAGACGTTGGATAGAGGAAGTGGAGGAAGTGAGAAAGTACGAGGATTTGAAAGCAACCACCCCAAAACAAAAAGACAACTACACAAAACGCTGGTTCCACTGGCTCCGAAACATCAACTCAGACGACTTCCTACAACACATCTCCGAACCATAGGCAAAAGTGTGACGAGAGACGCAGGGGCACCCGGGGGAGCTCGGGTAGAGGGCCTGGGGGGCGGCGGACCGGGAGCGGCGACGGGGAGTACGATCCCATTGACTCACGAGACCTCCCCCCCCACACCACAATGACCATACTGGACATGAGACGGAGACCGCGACAACCCTCCAAACCCAGACCCACCAAGGCTTTGCAATAGCCGCACTCCAACAGGAGGCGAACATAAAACTGGGGGAAAACGCACCACCCACAGACGCTCAACGAACCACTAATACAGCTACCCATAATCTGGAGACCCACGACCACCCATACAACCACACAAGACCCAACCACCAACCAATGACAAAACCCAACCCGGACAACTCACCCAACCACAAGAACACAGGGAACACACCAGGGACACATAACCCGCAGAGAGGACCAAACCCACACAGGAACACCCGGCCCATAACGGGAGACCCTCCCCGGAGACACCAAGACAGGGAGACACAGGGAATACACACACGTGAGCGAGAGCCGAGAACCACACAACACCCAACACAGGAACCCATAGAAAGGGCCGCGCAACAGGCTAGCCATGCAATAGACAAAGATAGACAGGGCCAAGATCAAAAGCGCAATGAAAAAAGCAACTAGTAGACCCATAACCCACTAAGTCAAACGAAAGCACCACCAAGGCCCACGGAACAGTGAACACCTGGACCGCCCCGACACACCCGACCAACTACGAGCCCAACAACGGCAATACCCAAGGCAGCCACACTACACCCAAAAGGGACATATTTCCCCCCCCCCCCAAAACAAAAACAAAAAAACAAAACAAAAAAAAACACCCTACCCTTAAGGACCGCGGGGAAACACACACAGGACACCGCAGACCTACCACACACCACACACTAGCTCACACATGAAGATATAAGGGACCACCACAGCATCACACCAGAACAGGCCAACGTTAGTACCAATAATTGAACTACTATGAAGACAGCACACCGACTACCATGATATGGTAGAGCAATACCAACTTTCAGCATCAGTACGGACATATCGCCCGCCACCTTTGTTATACGGGCAGAGCCTCTGACCAGGCAATGTCGACGCACAAGTTTGGATTACAAGTTTGAAACCAAAGTACATTAGCCTAATTAACACAAACGTGAAAATAAAAACGATTTAACACATCACACATGCAGAAACCAACCAACACAAACACCAGCACACACCAACTAACACAATACAAATCAACAAACCTGCTGATACAAACAACAGCACGACCAAGCCAACACAAGATAACAATACAAACACACACACACACCTCTGTCAAATATGAGACTAAAAGTAGTAAAACATGCAACCTGATTAACTGGCCTCTGCGCAGGTAACAACTTGCCTATTTACTCATGTACTAATAACTACGCCTCTGCGCAGGCAACAATTTGCATACCTACTCGTGTACTGATAACTACGCCTCTGCGCAGGCACTTACCCGCTTAAACACAAATACGTTTGAATTGGAATTTATGTTGTGAAACCAATAAACATATTCAAAACAAAAAGTTGTTCCCCCCCATCCCTCTCATATTTGAACAGACCCAAATAATAAACATGGCAATGACCACAACCATAAATAACAACATGTTAATATATATAACACATAACCAATAAAGTGCAAATACTTTTTACTTAACAGAACAATGGTGCGGGTATACCTGGATACCCCCCACATCCCGTGGTTCTGAGCCAATGACTGACTCAAAACCTCACAACACCATAACCGACTGTATAACCTATGTTTTAAAGAAAAGAAGATCAGATAGGAAGAAATAAAGAACAGATTCTGAGAGAGGAAGATAAGAAGAAGTGACTGGGGAAGGGTAAGTTCGGCATGACAGTGCCGATTTAAAGGGACACTCCAGACCCCTGCAAGTGCTTTGTGTGTGCAGAGTGTGTCCTCTATTTTCATTTTGTAAAATATAATCTCAAGAGGCAGCAATTGCCCAGAGTACCTGCTTTGCAAAGACTTCTCATTGGGCTGCACTTGGAAGTCTGTGATTGGACAACCACATAAAGTCTGGGCGGAGTTCGAAAGGGAAAGTTTGCAAAGGCAGCAAACAAGAGAACTGCAGCTTGGGCAAGCTGGTTTTAGATATATATTCATATATTCACAATATCTACTAAACTGTTTTCTCTTTAAGTGTTCTTGCATAACCAGACCACTTAATATTATCTCACATATATATTATTCTTATTCTTATTATAGCCAAATTTACCACCCTAACTCCTCCCACAGGTTTTACCCTACATAGACAGTAATATACCGAAACATGCGGATTGTTCCCGATTGGATTGCCATTACTTTGTGGAACGTTTCGCCGAATGGTTCACGGAATATCATCATTCTTGTGGCGAAATTGGTCCCATAGGAATGAATGGCAAAATGTTCAAAACTAGAATGGGAGCTGGCAAAAGCAGAAAAATCAGGACATGATTTCTAAACTGCCACCACTCCCTCATTTTCAAACCCAACTACACAAATCGTCCGGGCCGCCATCAGGGCATGACAACCATAACGGTTGTCATGGGCCCGGCGGTCCTGGGGGGCCCGGACTGCTCAGGTCGTCCAGGCCCCACATTCAGTGGTGTACATACCGGGTCGCAGGGGGCCCTGCGACCCGGTATGTACCCACTGGGCCAGCCTCTTCTCTTGGGGGGCCCAGCAGCCGGTCACCCCGAGGCTGGCCCTGGTGTCACCCGGTGGGCGCGCGAGAGAGCACTCTCCCTGGCTGAGTGCTTCCTCTTCAGCTCCCTCGTGCACCGCACTGATGCTGCAGCCCTTACACATACAAACACAAATTTGAGGGAGGGGGGGAAAGGAAATTTGAGGGGGGGGAGAGGAAGGAAATTTGAGGGGAGAGGAAGGAAATTTGAGGGGGGGGAGAGGAAAGAAATTTGAGGGAGAGGGGGGAGAGGAAGGAAATTTGAGGGAGGGGGGGAGAGGAAGGAAATTGGAGAGGGGGGTAGAAGAAGGAAGCTGGAGGAGGAGAAGGCAATGAGAGGGGGGAGAAGTAAATTGGAGAGGGATTTGGAGAAGAAGGAAATTGGATGGGGGGAGAAGAAGGAAATTGGAGGGAGGGAGAAGGAAATTGAGGGGGAGAAGGAAATTGAGGGGAGAAATGAAATGAGAGGGAGGGGAGAAGAAGGAAATTGAGAGGGGGTAGAAGAAGGAAGTTGGAGAGGGAGGGGTGGAGAAGGCAATGAGAGGGAGGGTGAGAAGGAAATTGAGAGGAGGGAGGAGAAGAAGGAAATTGAGAGGGGAGAAGAAGGAAATTGAGATGGGGAGAAAGGAAATTGAGAGGAGGGAGAAGAAGGAAGCTGGGAGGAGGAAGAAGGAAATTGGAGAGGGGGGAGAAAAAGGAAGTTGGGGGGGAGAAGAAGGAAATTGGAGGGGGAGAAGAAGGAAATTGGAGAGGGAGTGGGAGAAGAAGGAAATTGGAGAGGGGGGAGAAGAAGGAAATTGGAGGGGTGAGAAGAAGGAAATTGGAGAGGGAGGGGGAGAAGAAGGAAATTGGAGGGAGAGGGAGGGGGAGAAGAAGGAAATTGGAGGGAGAGAGAGGGGGAGAAGAAGGAAATGAGAGGGAGGGGGAGAAGAAGGAAATTGGAGGGGGGGGAGAAGGAAATTGACGGGGGAAGGGGAGAGATTGACATCCATCACACACACACAAACACAATGCACCCCTTGCACACAGAAAAACACACAATGCATTACACACAGACACACATACACAAGCAATGCATCACATACACAAGCAATGCACCCCTTACACACACTCAATGCATCCCTTAGACGCAAACACTGCATCCCATACATACACAAACTCACCTTGCAGCCCTTACACATACAAACACAAATTCACACAATGCATTCCTTACACACATCAGGACATCCCCCACACACACTCCACCCCCTGTGAACAAACTCATTGGTGGAACATGAAGGTGGACCCTGGGACCCAGACCTTGAGCTGTGTAAAGGGCCCTCAAAAAAATGGAGCTGCTTCCCGTTCTCCCAGAACATTGATTTTTGTGACCACAGTTACAAACCGCCTCCAGAGAGCCTGTTCTACACCAGTCCAGTGGAGCCAGACGGCAGCTAGAGCCCATCATCATCCTCATCTGGTTGTAAGTAGGAAATCTAGCATATTATTCATGGCACTAATCTCTAATTTACCTCACATTAAAGGGACACTATAGTCCCCAGAACCACTGCAGCTTAATGTAGTGGTTCTGGCGTCTAGCCTGTCCCTGCAGGCCTTTTAATGTAAACACGGCGGCACTGCAGCACTGGTGTTAGTTAAAGGACCACTATAGGGCCAGGAAAACATACTCGTTTTCCTGGCACTATAGTGCCCTGAGGGTGCTCCCACCTTCAGGGTCCCCCTCCCGCACGGCTCTGGGGAGAGGAAAGGGGTTAAAACTTACCTTTTTCCAGCGCCGGGAGAGGAGCTCTCCGCCTCCGATCCTCCTCCTCTCCTCCTATTCGGCTGGCTGCGCGCACATTCAGCCGGTCTCATAGGAAAGCATTCATAATGCTTTCCTATGGACGCTTGCGTGTTCTTACTGTGATTTTCACAGTGAGAATCACGCAAGCGCCTCTAGCGGCTGTCAATGAGACAGCCACTAGAGGAATTGAGGGCTGGATTAACCCATTTATAAACACAGCAGTTTTTCTAAAACTGCTATGTTTATAAAAAAATGGGTTAACCCTAGCTAGACCTGGCACCCAGACCACTTCATTAAGCTGAAGTGGTCTGGGTGCCTAGAGTGATCCTTTAACATGGCAGATCATATGGGTGGGGCATTGTGATGTCACATGGGTGGGCGGCAAACTTTACTTTTGCCTAGGGCGGCAAAAATCCTTGCACCGGCCCTACAGTCACTGCATCCCTGTGGGCAGACTAAAAATGTCCACGGCTAAGTCATAGTCCTGATAGTTTTAAAAATATGACCATTTGTTTGCAACTCACGCCATCCATTGACATTCATTGAAAATCCACTCTAGCCAGTTCAAATTTGAAGGGCAATTTGTAAACTGCAACTGTGCCTTCATTGTTAATATCTCAGAGACATACTATGCATCAAAATGTAGGTCTGGGTGTTGTGATTCTCACAATATAAAGCTCTTCGCTGTAGGATTTAGAGTTTCTAAAATACGACCGTTTGAAGATGGCATCCGCCAAAATACTCTGACCTGTGCCAGGCTGGAGCAGCAAGTGATGTCATAGACAGGGCCTTTTGTACACCTGCTAATGTTTTTATAAATGTATGTTTTAATGTAACTGTGAAGCACTTTGGGCAACAACGTTGCAATTAAATGTGCTATATAAATAAATAATAACAGTTACTCCGCCCACTCCAGTTGTAGACTACTGGTGGCGGCAAGAACACTTCACACAATTTCCCCAGAAATTGTAGCTTTTCTAGTTTTGTATTGTATTTGGGCAGGGGAGACTCCTTTTTAGTCGCTATGTAGTAATGGAAAGCTTCCTTTAATTTTCACTAACTTTACAAAGCGCTCTTTCACATGAGGGAACATTATACTGGATTCTATTTAGAATAAATAAACCGTAGCTAATCTGCATTGTGTTCTATACAATCCACATCAGTGGGATCTTCATCTGACCTTTCATTTCTCACTATATCTTGCCTTTACAACAGTCACTGACTGACTAGATTACGACATTGACCTTCAAACCCTTTCATTTGTTTACTCTTTTATGAAATGCCCAGAGACCCCAATCACATTTAGTGGAACGCATTGAGCAGGTGAATCCTTGTTAATGTTTTGATGTACATAGCAGCAGGACAAATCATTTTTTTCTTTTTTTTTTTAAGAAGAGATTTCACCAAATGTGCTTGCTACCATGACAACACAAACACAACAGTGTATGCAAGTATTTTTTTGTGGTATCAGATGGCCAATCCCATTTGTACTATTAGGTTCACAGCACTGATTATTAACATGGAGAGTACAATAGTAAACTATATGGACTGTTTGTAATTTGAATGTAATATTACATGCAATGCATAACTTTGTTGTTACTATTATTATTATTTATAAAGCACCAACAATTTCCGCAGCGCTGTACAATGGGTGGACTAACAGACACGTATTTTTAACCAGGCGAGTTGGACGCACAGAGGGTGTTGAAGGTCCTGCTCAAATAAGCTTAAATGCTAGAGGGAGTGAGGCATAGTGATAGAAAATGTGTATCAAACTGCCTCTGGGTTTTAGAGATATGTGCTGGGGGTTCTACTTCCCCCCCCCCTCCCCACCCCCAGCACATAATTGCCAATATCTCAGGCATAGGCGTGTGCAGCCTATTGCATAAGGGTGTGCACCCTAAAGCACAAACACACACGCAGTGTGTGCGTGTATATATATATATATATATATATATACACACACACTGCTCAAAAAAATAAAGGGAACACTTAAACAACACAATGTAACTCCAAGTCAATGACACTTCTGTGAAATCAAACTGTCCACTTGGGAAGCAACACTGAGTGACAATCAATTTCACATGCTGTTGTGCAAATGGGATAGACAACAGGTGGAAATTATAGGCAATTAGCAAGACACCCCCAATAAAGGAATGGTTCTGCAGGTGGTGACCACAGACCACGTCTCAGTTCCTATGCTTCCTGGATGATGTTTTGGTCACTTTTGAATGCTGGCGGTGCTTTCACTCTAGTGGTAGAATGAGACGTAGTCTACAACCCACACAAGTGGCTCAGGTAGTGCAGCTCATCCAGGATGGCACATCAATGCGAGCTGTGGCAAGAAGGTTTGCTGTCTGTCAGCATAGTGTCCAGAGCATGGAGGCGCTACCAGGAGACAGGCAAGTACATCAGGAAACGTGGAAGAGGCCATAGGAGGGTGTAGCGGAGAGGCAGTATAATCCACAATATCTCCGCTGGGTAACAGGAATAACATAAAATAATCCAGGGGAATAAGCACAGCATACAATAATCCCGGTAGCGTTGTAGTAATCCTTCCTTCCCAAGAACTAGACGACACATAGGCTGGGAGTCAACTGAGGTTTTATTCACAGGACACTGTATTTATGGGATTCCCCATGCAAGGGGTTTCCCTACTGACATTACAGGGGTTGTACAGTAGGGGACTACATGGGGAACTGCCAAACACATACATTTCTCCCATCATGCACTGCTGGACGAGAGGGATACTCCCACTGGAATATACAGTTAATGGGATTATCCCTCCGTGCAGCAAAACTTATATTTTACATAAAAATCCATAAATTTAACAATATTCACTTGTTTTACACGAATGGACGTTCGGTAGATAGCTGGAGGCTGAGCGCATAGTTCGTGGAAATACCGCTCAGCTCCCAGTCTAACTAACCGAACGCCGTACGAAATACACATGATTTCCAACATACGGTTAAAATAACGATTGATATTAGGGGAACAAACTACCGAAAGGCCGGGACTCCCGAACGGCCTGGAAGTCCAGCGGGGTTCGCGCCGTCGAGTAGCCGTTTTTAGTTCCAGGCGCTCAACGCCAAATCCCCGATGGGCTAACAAAGGAATCAAGATGGCCGACCGCCGCGTGGTTGGTAGCCGAACGACGGCCACCTAGGGAAGTCTTTAACTACCGATTGCAACAATGTTGCAATCGGTTAATGGGCTCCACACGACCTCCTGTGTGTGGTCGACCGTTCGGTAGGTCAATCGTTTCACGAACAGTGTTTAAACTCACTGTTCGTGAAACTGCATAGGCAATGCTGGGTTTCACGTATTACAAGCATACGGACGCTCTTGTTCGCATGAATGCTCCATACTAGATTACACTTGGCTCTCACAGCCAGCAAACCTCCTAATATCCACACATGCAATAGTCTTAAGTGGCTAGGTTTGCCACAGAGGGCAACAACCCAGCAGCAGGACCGCTACCTCTGCCTTTGTGCAAGGAGGAACAGGAGGAGCACTGCCAGAGCCCTGCAAAATGACCTCCAGCAGGTCACAAATGTGCATGTGTCTGCTCAAACGGTCAGAAACAGACTCCATGAGGGTGGTATGAGTGCCTGACGTCCACAGGTGGGGGTTGTGCTTACAGCTCAACACGGTGCAGGACGTTTGGCATTTGCCAGAGAACACCAAGATTGGCAAATTCGCCACTAGCGCCCTATGCTCTTCACAGATGAAAGCAGGTTCACACTGAGCACATGTGACAGACGTGACAGAGTCTGGAGACGCCGTGGAGAACGTTCTGCTGCCTACAACATCCTCCAGCATGACCGGTTTGGCAGTGGGTCAGTAATGGTGTGGGGTGGCATTCCTTTGGGGGGCCACACAGCCCTCCATGTGCTCGCCAGAGGTAGCCTGACTGCCATTAGGTACTGAGATGACATCCTCAGGCCCCTTATGAGACCATATACTGGTGCGGTTGGCCCTGGTTTCCTCCTAATGCAAGACAATGCTAGACCTCATGTGGCTGGAGTGTGTCAGCAGTTCCTGCAAGACGAAGGCATTGATGCTATGGACTGGCCCGTCCGTTCCCCAGACCTGAATCCACTTGAGCACATCTGGGACATCAGGTCTCGCTCCATCCACCAACGTCACGTTGCACCACAGACTGTCCAGGAGTTGGCAGTTGCTTTAGTCCAGGTCAGGGAGGAGATCCCTCAGGAGACCATCCGCCACCTCAACAGGAGCATGCACAGGCATTGTAGGGAGGGCATACAGGCACGTAGAGGCCACACACACTACTGAGCCTCATTTTGACTTGTTTTAAGGACATTACATCAAAGTTGGATCAGCCTGTAGTGTTTTTCCACTTTAATTTTGAGTGTGACTCCAAATCCAGACCTCCATGGGTTGAAAAATTTGATTTCCATTTTTTTTTTTTTTTTGTGATTTTGTTGTCTGCACATTCAACTATGTAAAGAACAAAGTATGTCAGAAAAATATTTAATTCATTCCGATGTAGGATGTGCTATTTTTGTGTTCCCTTTATTTTTTTGAGCAGTGTATATACATACACTCACACACATGCTGTTGTGTGTGTGGGGGTGCAGTATGTGTGTGTGTGAGGGTGCTGTGTAAGGGTGCTGTGTTTGTGAGGGTGGTGCGTGTGCTATGTGTGTGTTAGGGTGATGTTAGTGTGTGCTGTGTGCATGTATGTGTGAGGGTGCTGTATGTGTAAGGGTGCTGTGTGTGTGCTCTGTTAGTGTGTGTTGTTTGTGTGTATTGTGTGGTGTTGGGACCATTTAGTAAATATCCTCCCTCCCTTCTTACCTTTTGTAGAGAGGGGGTACCATGCTGCTGTCATCCCTGGTGGTCCAGTGGAGAATGAACTCTAGCCTGCGGGGCTAAAGTTCACTCTTGCGAGATCTGAGGGTTGCTACGGCTAGAGCTCCCCGGTGTCAGGATTACTGTTTGATCCAGCACGTAGAACTGTACAGCACGGATGACAAATAAGTAACGTATTACCGGTCCTTAGAATGGCCGGATTTAACGTACAAAGAATAGTCAAAAATACTAGCCGAGGTCAGGGAACACAGAAAGGGACACAGCGATGAGGAAAGCCAGGAGTCAGGATACCAGAATATAGAGAAGTCAATAAACAAAGCCAAAGTCAAAAACCAGGTAGAAAACTATAAACAGGAACGCGCTCTCAGACAACCACAAGGGAAACCACGACAGGGCACTGAGCAGGCTGAGAACTGGGCCTAAATACCCCTCCTTTAGTTCTGATAGGCTGTAACCGGCCTTTGACCCCAAAGTCAGTTACCAGGTTTCATTTGCATAATTGCTGCTCAGCATTAACCCTTCTGTGGATTAGGTTGCTGCTCGGCACAACTTTTCCTGTGTGGACAGTAAATGTCATTAACCACATTTCTATAAGCGGATGAATACGTGACATTACCCCCCACCTGAAGAACGCCCACCGGGCGGACAGGACCAGGCTTGAGAGGAAATTTAGCGTGGAAAGCGCAGATCTTACGGCCCGCATGCAGGTCAGGAGCCGAAACCCAAGAACGATCAGCAGGACCGTAACCTTTCCAAACAACCAAGTACTGTAAAGTGCCCCGAGAAAACCTAGAATCCACGATAGAAGATACCTCATACTCTTCCTGACCACCCACCACCACCGGAGGGGGAGGAACACAAGGAACAGCATATCTATTGCAGACAAGAGGTTTGAGTAAGGACACATGAAAAGTGTTGGGAATCCCTAAAGATGCAGGAAGAGCCAGAGAGTAAGACACTGGATTGATCCTACGAAGCACTCTATAGGGACCAAGGAATCTGGGGGCAAACTTCATGCTAGGGACCTTAAGCTTGATGTTGCGAGATGACAACCAAACCCGGTCCCCCACTTGGTACACCGGGTTGGCACTCCTACGCTTATCAGCAAAATGTTTGAAGCGTTCAGCAGCAGCCCCTAGAGCAGTTTGAACCTTAACCCAGGTATCCCGAATGGAGGCCAGACGCCATCCAGAGCAGGAATGGCAGTATCAGAAAATACCGCAGGGAGAACCGTAGGATGCCTACCATTATTGACAAAAAATGGACTGTGCCCAGAGGAGTCATGAACAGCATTGTTTCTAGCGAACTCGGCCCACGGGAGTAGTTCGGACCAATTGTCTTGTGTGCTATTAATAAAACAACGCAAATAAACTTCTAATGACTGGTTAGCCCTCTCAGCTGTACCATTGGTCTGTGGGTGGTAGGAGGAAGAGAAGGAGAGATCAATCCCCAATTGTTTACTGAACGCCCTCCAGAACCTGGACACAAACTGAGAGCCCCTATCAGACACAATATTGTGGGGGATGCCATGCAAATGGACAATTTCACGTATGAAAATTAGGACCAAATCTTGCGAAGATGGCAACTTCTTGAGAGGAATGAAGTGAGCCATCTTAGAAAATCGGTCTACAACCATGAGAATAGTAGTGAACCCAGCAGAGCTAGGAAGCTCAACAATAAAGTCCATGGATAAGTGGGACCATGGAATCTCAGGAACAGGAAGTGGCTGCAACAGGCCACAAGGAAGTGCATGAGTCACCTTAGAAACTGCACACACAGGACATGCCTGCACATACTCCTTTACATCTTTCCTGAGTGAATCCCACCAAAATGATCTAGTGATCGCGGCAGTGGACTTATTGATGCCCGGGTGTCCAGCAGTTATATTGTCATGGAACACTTTCATGATATTAACCCTTTCACATAGGGGAACGAACAGTTTATCACACGGTTTACCACTGGGCGCCTGAGGCTGGGCCTCCAGTATGGTGCCAAGCAGTGGAGAAGACAGTGAGAGGACAGTAGTAGCAATAATACACTCTGTGGAATAATAGGAGATGTCATCTGTTCCGGAGCTGACTCATTATCAAATTGCCTGGACAAGGCATCAGCCTTGGTATTTTTAGAACCAGGTCTATAAGTAATGAGAAAGTTAAAACGTGAAAGGAACAGTGACCATCTAGCCTGTCTGGAAGACAAACGTTTGGCATCCCCTATATATGCCAGATTTTTGTGGTCGGTTATGATCAACAGGGGGTCCTTGGAACCCTCCAAAAGATGTCGCCACTCCTTGAGGGCAAGAATAATGGCCAACAGTTCTCTATTGCCAATATCATAGTTGCGCTCAGCAGGAGACATCTTTCTGGAGAAGTAGCCACAAGGATGCAATGGTGTTCCCTGGCTTTCTCTCTGAGAGAGAACAGCCCCTACCCCTGTCTCGGATGCATCAACCTCCAATATAAAAGGTTTACTGGTGTCAGGATGTTTTAGTATGTCCGCAGTGGCAAATCTTTGTTTAAGAGTCTCAAAAGCATTCACAGCCTCTTTGGACCATACCGTGCTACTAACCCCTTTGCGAGTCATATTTGTGATTGGGGCTATTACAAAAGAAAATCCCTTGATGAATCTTCTGTAATAGGTGGCAAAACCAATAAACCTTTGAATGGCTTTTAAACCAGAGGGTAATGGCCAGTGTAGTACAGCCTCTAGTTTTTTATGATCCATTTGAAATCCCGATGCAGAGATGTTGTAACCCAAAAAGTGGACTTCAGGCTGGTCAAATATGCACTTTTCTAATTTACAATAAAGTTTATTTTTCAACAACGTCTGCAGAACCTGTTTCACATGGGAGTGGTGAGTTTGAAGATCAGGGGAATACACCAAAATATCGTCCAAATAAACCAAGACAAATGAGTAAATGAATTCCCTGAGTACATCATTTATAAAGTCTTGGAATACGGCCGGGGCGTTGCATAACCCAAATGGCATTACCAGATATTCATAGTGTCCACTACGGGTATTAAATGCCGTCTTCCACTCATGATTCTCTTTAATTCTAACCAAATTGTAAGCGCTCCTAAGGTCAAGCTTAGTAAATACTTTAGCTCCCTGAAGTCTATCGAACAATTCGGAAATGAGTGGAATAGGGTATGCATTTTTTACAGTGATTTTATTAAGTGCCCTGTAGTCTATGCAAGGGCGTAACTCACCACCCTTTTTCTCAACAAAAAAGAATCCTGCACCAGCTGGTGAGGATGACTTTCTTATGTGCCCTTTGCTCAAGGATTCTTTGATGTATTCCTCCATTATTTTACTCTCCTGGGGAGATAAGGCATAAACTGCCCCCTTAGGTGGCATAGCGCCTGGAAACAGGTTAATGGCACAGTCATATGCTCTGTGGGGAGGCAATACATCGGATTGAGCCTTGTTAAACACCTCCTGAAGTTCTCGGTATTGTATGGGAACTCCAGGAGTTTGGGAAGTGGTAGTGGGAAGGTCAATAGTATCCAATCTCTTTAGTACTGGTTTTATACATCTCCCCATACACTCTTTACCCCATTCTAATATCTCCCCATTAGCCCAGTCAATATAGGGATTGTGCTTACTCAGCCACGGAAACCCTAATATGATAGGACATGATGGAGAAGTAATAACCTGAAACGTCATCTCCTCCCTATGGGAGGCCCCAATGGAGATCGTAATAGGGACAGTTTCGTGGGTTATAAGCGGTTGTGTGAGTGGTCTACCATCAATAGCCTCTACAGCTAGCGGCGTAGGTCTCTCCCTGACCGGTATCTCATTACCCCTAATAAACTGGACATCAATAAAATTTCCAGCAGCACCTGAGTCCATTAGGGCACTGCAAGAAAACTTCTTGTTATCAAGGGAAATAGATACCTCAAGGAGGAATCTACTTTTGTTTTTGTTAGAGGACAACTCCATCACACCTAAGATCTGTCCCCTTAAGGTTCTTAGGTGCGGAAGTTTTCCGGACGCACTGGACAATTAGTTATCATATGTCCCTTTCTACCGCAATATAGGCATAACCCCTCCCTTCTCCTATACTGTTTTTCGGCCTCTGACAGTCTAGTGACCCCCAACTGCATAGGTTCGGGTTCGGACTGTACAGGGAGGTTAGACAAAACAGGTTTAGAGAATTGAGGTGCTAGGGACATAGCCGTACGTCTGGTCTTGCTTCTGGTGACTTCTCTGAGTCTTAACCTATTATCAATATGCATGACAAACGTAATAAATTCGTTAAGACTCTTAGGTAATTCTTTAGCGGCTATCTCATCTAGTATAGTCTCTGAGAGACCCTTTTTGAATGCTGAGATTAACCCATTGTTAGTCCAGTCTACCTCGGAAGCTAAGGTACGGAATTCAATAGCATAATCCGAGATAGACCGGTTACCTTGTCTGATGTGCATTAGGGCAGTGGAGGCGTCATCCTCTCTACCCAATGGCTCAAACGTGAGCTTGAATTCGGCAAGGAATTCCTGGTAATTATGAGCTATGCTCCGATTACTCTCCCACAACGGATTAGCCCAGGCAAGGGCCTTGCCCTTTAATTGATTCATTAGATAACCAATTCTTGCTCTGTCCGTGGGGAATGACCCTGGTGAGGCCTCAAAATGGTACTCCACCTGATTAAGAAAACCCCTGCATTCCTGGATATTGCCATCAAACTGTAGGGATGGTGATAAGGAGATGCAAGGAGTCCTATTAACAGTGGGTGGAGGTACACAGGGTAGAGGTGCTATAGGAGGAGACGCTGCAGGCTGCAGATGCTCCGTT